CCGCAAACGCAACTTTAGGGTGCGAATCCATGTTGCAGCCTCTGCACGCATTACACGTGGCACCCGGAGCCACGTCGTGTGCCACGTGTATTGCGTGCAGAGGCTGCTCCTCACGGTTCATGTCCTCACCTCGTCAGAGATTGTATAAAAACCAACATACGAGATTTGGTCTTTGTATTGAAAATGAAGAGTCATCTACCAATGAAAGGTACGAAGTATTGAAATTTTAACCAATAAGACTAATGTCGGATAGAATTGTCGTATTCGCCAAGTTACCCATACATAAAGATGCTCTAACCAAAACGTGGTAGAATCCTAAAAATACCTCTGGAAACGATCGTCCCACGTCAATGACTACAGTACGTGCAGTATTGCATGCACCCAACGTCAGCATATTATTGTCCTTTTACCCAAAATTTGGACTTTTAGTATGTGTTGATTCGCTAAATCGGATAATATACCTAACTGAACTTACTGTTATTTAATAACGTAAAAGTCCAATTTAAGGTGTACGATCCATTTTAAGGTGCACGCGAATTAGCCAATCAATTCCTATAAAAGCAGTTTTTAACCTAACCGCCCAAAACAAATGCAAATTGGTATACAAAACCTATTTGATTTTTGGGTTTAACTACATTAATTACACTACATTAACCAGAAAAAGCAAGGTGAAATAGACAATTTTGTATGCTGCGCTGCGAATTCAATTAAATATATCTTCAAGTTTGTATTGATGATTTTTATTTTTCATAGGTGTGACTCTTTTTGGAATTTGCAAGGCAGGGAGATGTGGGAACAGGACACAAACACATCACTATGAAGAATTCAAGATCCTTGACTCCTTCAAATCGTGGTGGTATGCTATTGTCGAGTGGATACATGCATCTTTATTCAAGCTGTCACGTGCGAGTCAACCAGGAACTGAATCTGCCGGAATCAAACGACGTGTACATGCGCGCGACAGTTACATATTATTATTCGCTTGAACATCTTTATGTTGATATGTGTATTAAGTATGCGTATTTTTATTCATCTCCATATTTATTTACGTTTTTTGCACAAACGATTTATACATCCTACAGATTGCGTACATGCGGGAAAGGCGCGATGCAGGTCAGCAATTTCTCAATGCATACTGCACAACGGGTCACGAAACTCTCCACTCCTCATAACAACAACCAATACTATCAACAACACCTTATTGCATGTCGCCTGAATCAACAGCTGTAGAGAAAGACAACTTCGAACTTGGCAAATTCGTCGTATTTCAAGAACAAACGTGTACCGTAGATGCGGGTAAGATGCCTTATGCCAGAGAGAGAGTTGTGTATGCGCAGACCATGCTGCATAGGCTGAGCTCGTAATGGACTATCTTGTAGTACGAGTAGTATTGCTCTAAGTATTACACAGCTCGAGAAAAGCGTCATCAAAGTTCGTCCATTTTCGACATGTCGTAAAAACATGCACAAGCGCAATAAAAATATTGCATCCGCAAAAGTGATGAAATATCCGGAACTGTTGTGTTTTCAATGTGAAACGGCGCGAATTTTTTGAATGCAAGGCATCGCACATGCAGATATAAAACGTGTCAGTACAGCAGTCAATGTCCCTCTCCAACAACTTGGATGACTGCGAGGAAACTCCAGTTTCGATTTCGCTAATCATGAATGCCTTGATTTTGGCCTTCCATAACTTCGTGTTATGATGAGTTTTCGCCAGTTCCCTCCCAGGTCACCTTGCGAATTCAAAATTGTCCAATTTGTCCAATTAGATGCCGTGAAATCACGAAAATCGCTGCGTAGATTCGTCACACCCTGTTGCGATATATTCTACTCATGTGATGGTGGTTGATGCAAGGAGCATTGAGATAATTATGTAGGCTGTGTATGAGAGCAAGATCATGCGATGTGGTATCCCGGACTCGGTCAATTCGAACAGGTCTAGACTTCAGTAACATCACCACTTGCCTGTTAGACCAATGAATGTTGTCATCATCCTTCATTCCACCATCAGTCCGTGTCGGTGCCGTACACCTCCCTACTGGAGTAGTCACGTGGTTACTCGGGCGGGTGGCGCAAGACGTCTTGGTGGCACCCATCGCAAGTGCTGAAGTGGCGGCTTCAGCACTTGCGATGGGTTCCAACTGTACCAAGACGTCTTGCGCCACCGCGTTGGCCCACCAGAGCCGTCACGGCATTGCGACCCAACCGAGGCCACAACATAATGTTAGCTGTAAGGGGAGAACCACATTGGATATAGTCGGAGTGAACTCATCAGTGCAAAATTCTCTCGAGCTGCATCACACAAAGCTCTACAAAATTCAAACAGTTCAATTTAAGATGACTTTTTAATGTATCCAATCAGAGTCCATCATACCTTGCTTCTTACACACGACTGGCTATAACACTGGCAGGAGAGGTTACAATTTTGAACTTTGAATTTTGTTAAGCTTTGTGTGATGCTGCTCTAGAGAATTTTGCACTGATGAGTTCACTCCGAAGTACTGTAGTGTGAGTGATACTGTAATGAATTAATACTTTCACTGCCACGTATTACTGCCACCATTTGCCCTCGGAAGTGACTACAAATTCATATTTTGCCCAAATTTGATGCGACCAAGCCTCGAAATTCGACCATGAAAAATTGAATGGTGTGTCGTTGCACAAGCAACGGTGGCCAAAACCGTCCAGTTTGTCTGCGCGCGACTTGTCGCAGCAGCCTTTCGTCCCTCTGTCTCTCCCTTTCCAGTCATTCCGTGACACACTGAACCTTCACCCCCGCTGCCCTCGCTCCCCCAGACCTCGGGCGGTCGGCGTCGACCATCTACGTCCACGATGTCGTTGTCCAAGCCATGGGACAAGTTCTACAACGGCGACGGAACCGTGTTTACGACGCCCTGGCAGGAGAAGGGGATAGTGGTTTGGAGCTGCCAACTTTCCGTATATCAAATCCTGCTCAAGAAACCCTCGATGCCGAAGCTTCTAGCCAACAAAGGTCGAAACCTGTAGATATGGTCGCAGACCACCCCTCCTACTAAAACCAGAAGCCCCGCCTCGAGATGATGGTCCAGCTTCGACTTCGCGGTGCATATGAAACACGTCACTTTCGTAGCATCTCCACATCCAGTAGCTTACACGTGACCTAGACGCAGCCAAAAGCGGTCTCCACGGGAGACGAGTTTAAGCTCGGCGGTGTCCCTTTTCGAGTCGTCCGATATATCCAGCGACAACTTCGACTTCATCTCCCACACGCCCAACATCATCACCGAATTGGACATCTTCCCCGTGGCTGTCCAGGATGTGACAAAATCATCTACAAGTCTGTCCACGTCTAGAAGGACGAAACCCAAGCATCACATGCTGCCCCCAGTAGTGGTAGACACGCCCCCCCACGCAGCGCTGGCTCAACGCACCAAAGTGGCGGCGGAAGTGTACCTCCCAGGTTCGTCCTCCGACGCCCTCGTTGTAGTGAAGCCCACCACTATCATCCCCAGCATCATCACCCCCTGGAGTCCCTCGTCGTCAAAGGGGGCAAGTACAAACCGTACATCTAGAACAACACGTCAGTAGTTTTGTCGCCAAAACCGTCGCCTCGGATCAAGAAACTCGAACTGCAGTATGGCCCTCAAGTGACCAGCCGACCTTGTCGCTCATCCTACGCTCTCCAAAGCATCGGCAGTTAGTCAAGTGAGCATATGTCTCCTGGTAGGAGACATATGCAAACTGGCAAACTGCCGCGAACACAACTATTTTCCCCCACTCAAGCCCCCCCGCACCCTCCACAACACACTGGGCCTAAATAGTACTAGTACTACTGCTCAAGAAGGAACATCCGAATGAAGTTCTGTGAGCACTTTGCACTTGGCGGGGCCCAGCGTAAAGTCAGCTTTGTCTACCAGGTCGCTTGGACTTTTGGTGTACTGTCACGGCATTACGTCAGACAAAGCTCAAGCACTTGGTGCGTTGTCGCAACTCGTTCGTTGGTTGAATTCGTTCGATTGGCTTGGTTGACATTATTACCAGCTGGTCACATTCATTGACCGATAGGTACTGGTAGGAGTTACACGTGACTGCATCCACTGGGACAAAACAGAGTAATAGTGAGTTCACGACAGATGATATTGCGACAAACGGGATAAAGTGCATCCACTTATTGCAGCGCATCCAACTGCATCCAGATGCAATGTATACATGTGGGACATCGGTAAATTGATTAATTGAGTTTGGATTACTCGAGTATCATTTGTTTAAGACATTCCTCCGCGAGGGCCGATACTAGAACCACACGTTGTGGAACCGCTTCGCCAATTGTAACGCGCCTGCTCCACCAGAGTCGGTGTGTAATCTTCGGTTTTTAGCTTCATACCTCGTGCTTAGACCGAGCTTCTTCGAAGTTCGTACTCAGCCCTTGTTATCCGGATTCCCCAGGGGAGGGACGGATAAATCCTTGCGGAAATATCCCGGGGTCGAGCATGTGGGACATCGGGGTCGAGTGGTTCCCTGTGCGATGTTTTCTTGCCGTCAACTTACTGGCAAGAGAAACCAGGAACTTTAAGCAAGTGCACGCGAGCACCTCCAAGACTTCATGACTAGATGTTGGAGGAATGGTCGCTCGTGGTTGGCCTGTATCAACAGCGCCAAGCCTTCCTCTCTTGTCCACCTGCTCATAGCACACGAAACCACAGAGTGCAACCCCTCCTGTTCGGATAACCTCTATTTCTTATGATTATCCGATTTCGTGATAGCTGATCTTTTCACGGATTACGCTATAAAGTTTCATGAGTTTCCGTGATTGTACTAACAGATACGTACTTACTAACGTTACTGTAGTAGTATTGAGGAATAATTCCCTCATTAAAACAGTTTCACTGTTGTTTTGACCCGAAATACTGTTTCAATGAGGGAATTATTACATCCGGATACACCTTTTCGCCAGTAGCCTTGTAACCTGGGACTCCGTCCTACCCCCGGTGAGTACATACGATGCTAAATCTCCGGGGTTAACTGCATCGCTAGTGGTTAGCTATCGCTAACCACTGAGATGCAGTTAACCCCTAGTAAGAGGTGAGGTGGTCTGAGCATAGAAAGTTCCATATAAACCTTCAAAACAACAGTGGTACTGTTTTAATGAGGGAATTGTACTAGTATTAAGGTAATTCATGTAATTCTTACGGAAACGGACACAGATTACTTTGCGAAATCTCCCTATTATCTGTGGTCCTCTGTTGACCCGAAATACAGTTTCACTTTCAATGAGGGAATGATCCCATCCGGATACACCTTTTCGCCCAACCTGGGACCCCCGGTGGGTACATAGGATGCAAAATCCCCAGGGTTGACTGCATCTCTAGTGGTTAGCTATCCCTAACAACTGAGATGCACTAAACCCCTGTAGTAAAGGCCTAGGTACTGTACTCCGGAGTAACAAGTAAGTTCCATATACTTACTGTTAGTACAGAAAAACAACAGTGGAATACTTTTTTGAACTCCACAACCACGAAAAGTTCCAGAAGGATTCTGTGTATTTGTATGGTGGTGTGGACCGACGGTATGCATGGTTGGATACAAAAATTCGGTTCGAAATATTTACTGTTCATCGTTTGTAGCACTATTCATACCACAAACAACCAAATGGGGGAGGGGAGTACCGACAAACCGCACACTTGATGGACTTGATGTTACCACGGCGCTGCAGAACCAAGAGTGAGATTCCGACTGGGACAGTTGTTCTGTTTCTACGTCCTAGTACTACTATATTGCTAGTACTACGTACTACGCCTTTGTGTCGATTCGCCCACCACATGTGTCATAGCGGGACTTGGGTTAAGTCGCCCACCACAAACATAGTATTAATACATGTAACATTTGTTCGTTACCCCAATACCAAGCTGGATGCTGGATGAAAAAGTACCCGAAAGCTCGAAGCAAATTCGCCACGAGGCGTCCGTCCACCGTGACCATTTTCATAATCATTTTCACGACATAACACCACCTACAGTATGTTTGGGTTGTTTGTCGTGTGGAACGTCGTGGCGTATTTCGTCTTCGAGCCGCCTTCCGACGTCGAGTTCAATTTCCCCAAGTTTGTGGGCCAGCCAGCCAAGTTTCCGATCCCGACGGCACCGACTTGTGGCATCCGCAAGGCCAAGTCGGCCAAAGAAGTCGTGTACATGACCGTGGACGACGGACCGTCAGCGTCGGGCCGGTTGAACCTGCTCAACGCGATGGACCAACTCAACAACCGCACGGACACGGAGGCGGCGTACGTGTCGTTCATCGAGAATGGGTACAACTTTTGCGCCCAAGACTCAAACGCGATTGTCAACTTGACGTGCAACCCCGCCGCGTACGACACGGCTTTGCAGTTGCTCGTGTGGACAATCAAAGCCGGTCACATGATCGCAGCGCACTCGGACTCGCACTTTTACGACTCCAACGCGGGATTGTGCAACTACGTGACCATGTCCTTGGTGACTAAGGTCGAGGACAAGTACGCCAAATGCGG